AACACCGGATTTTATATATTTTAATGTTCTTTCTTTTTATTTATATATAAAACATACATATATATATATATATATATATAAATATTATATATATATATATATATATATATATATATATATATACTATATAACTAGTTTTTAAAAATTGTAATTAATTTTCCTTCTTGAAAGATAATTCTCAAATATTTAAGATTAATCCAGATAAGCTATTTTTGTAAAAAGTATATTTAATGAAAACATTATAATAATATTGAACCAAGTAGATTTAATTTGCCACTAAACCTATATATATATATATATATATATATATATATATATATATATATAAATATATAAAGGATCAAATTTTTAAAATTTTTTAAAGTTTTTTTTGAAAGGACCTTAATCTTTGAAAAAACTTTTTGCTGCTCCGCTCGATATAAGAAAAAATGAAAAGTAGTTAAAAAAACAAAACAAAAAATTGCCGTAAAATTTGTCTATTTTAAGAAAAAATTTGCATTTAAGATTTTAACTTTTCTTTATTCATTCTTTTTGTTCAAAAAATAAAATTGAAGTTTTTCTTAAATATAGAAATAAGTGTATTATATGTGAAGAAAAATGTTTGAAATAAAAAATTGATATGGTTGATAGAACAGTGAATCTAATTTCAAATGTTTTGATATTAATTCAATTATGATTTTTTTTGTCGTCATTTTCCTAAAACACTATCACTAACAACATGCTAAAATTGCCCTACACCTATGTATTGAGATCCTTTAAATTATTCCTAACAGTTAATATAATTTTTTTTACTAAATTTTTCAAAAAATCTTAAAACATAGTCATAATCCTCATCCGTTAAGCATATTTTATTTAGCATTATAAATTTATTGTTATTGATAGTGGATACGTATTTTTTTTTTAATTCTTTAGTATAAGTTCTAATTTTTTCCCAGAAATGTAAATGTAACGTAACCTGCATAGAATATTTTTATTGAAAATGTTAAAAAAAAATACCATTGTTTTTGTTTTGAAAATTTTTGTTTTCTCATTTAATTTCCAATTGTATTTTTTTTTTTTGTGCATTAAAATTTATTAACATTAAACCATATATAATTATTTTTAACTTAATTATTTAACTTTTTTATAATCTTGTCTAGAATGTTCACTGTTACCTTATGTTCAATAACTATAAAACGCATAAAAAATTATATATATATTTATAATTTTCATCAGAATTTATTTATATATATATATATTTCTGGTAAAAAAGTTTTTTTAATAGTTATTTAAAAATTTTTATATATAGATTTCAATATATTTATATATATTTAGATGAATATATAATTAAATAAAATATATATATATTATTATATTTATCCAATTATATATGAAATAATTTAAATATTTCCTATCCAGGAATTTAAAAAGATAAAAGCAATCATTTATCCGCTCTTCAACATATAAAATGAACATAAAAATTTAAATAGGTTTTGACATTCAATTATAAATATTTTTCAACCTTCTGTCCTAGAAATTTTTATAACCTTCCTTAAATTATATTCATTTATAAATGCGTCAAATAAAACAAACATATTAACGGATGTGTTCATATTTAATTTTTTCGTTTCGTATTCTTTCATTCTAAACTGATTAAAAAACATGAAAACATAAAAAAAAATTAAAGGGTTTAAATTTCAATTTTTTTATTTATTTATTATTATTATTTATTATTAGGAATTTTTTTTATCTCGTGATCCTCATCTTTTTTGAACTGAATATCAAATTTTCGCAAGCTTGGCTTTATCTTGCAAAAAAATTTTCTTCTATTCCTTATGTTATTTAAATTTTCGTTAAAATTTCATAAAATGTAAATAAATGTAGAAATTTATTTTGCTGTTTACAAAACAAATATAAGACAAGAATAAAAATGTCCTATAACGTTATCATTTTCCAAGTTTCTGATTTTTAATTTTATAAGACGAAAATATTAATCTTTTTTTTTTTTAACTTTTAGTTTTTTTAAGTCAAATGTAATTTTGACAAAATATATTTATATATATATATATTATATATATATATATAATATTGAATTTTTTTATAAAATAATCATTTAACACAATGTAAAAGAAAAAATAAACATTTTTTGGATATATATATTAATTTTGTAGATTAAGAACAATGATATTTATAATAACTGTATTTTTACAATACATAAAACTATATAATATATATAAATATAAATATATATTAAAAACAAAAATTTACAAAAAATTATATTTATAATATTTTTTTTAGAACTGACATATATTTAGAATGAAACTATTATGCATATATTCTACTATTTTTATAATATTAACGTATATATTTATATTTCTTCGGCCCTTCAGCAATATATTTTATATTTTTGTATTCAATTATGTAATATATAAAAATATACTATTTTATATATATATATATATATTTATTTTCCATCGAACCAAATCTTTTTATTAAAAACGTATGTGTGTGTGTGTGTGTG